TCTCAATGGTATCAATTTTTCCATATTCTTCAAAGTAATCTCTAAGATGATGTTCCTCAGTGTCTTCTTTAATCCCACCAACAAACAGCTTCTTCACAGTTACATGAGCCCCTGGCTTTCCAGATTCCTGTAGTAGAAGGTAGGGGGAGTCAATTCATGACCACAGAAACTAGACATGATTGAAAGCATCTCTGATACTACCATAAATTGTTTCTATCCTATGATAAAATACCAGGTAAAGCAACAGCTTATGAATAAGAAACTCGTCTAGGAAATAAGCTACTCCAGGGAAACCACCGTAGCTTAAATTGAGCTGGATAAAAAGAATTAAGTTCTTACATTTTATCTTCGGTAGGACAAAATTTTCTTCACATTTATTGCACGAAGTTATGCTATGCTCACCTCTCTTGCAACAGCACGTTTTGGCTCAACCACTCTTCCATCAATTGAATGAGGTCTTGCAGCCATGGCGGCATCAACCTCAGCCATGGATGAAAAAGTTACAAAACCAAATCCTCTTGATCTTTTGCTTGCAGGATCTCTCATTACCTTTAAAACCAAAGGGAAACCAGCATTTGATCTAGTTACCTATTCAATTAAGAGCATTTTTAAATTAAGAACCTAGATTTGAGTTATTTTCTCAAGGATTCACTCAGTATTTTAACCCCTAGAGTGTCGGAGAGGGTGATCGCGCTGCTCCTGACTTTCGCCAAAAGTGCCGGGAGCGCTGTCATAATTTTTATCCTAAACTGCTGTAAAATCAGCAAAAATGCCTTGGCAATTTTAGAATAGTTCCTAGGATACTGGTTGGCACTCAAAGGGTTAAACAAATCAGCCCAACAGTTGAAGGACTAGTATGTAAAGGCAATTATATGTATTGAACGTACCACACAGTCTGTAAGTTTCCCCCATTGCTCATAGTAGTTCCTCAAACTTTCTTCTGTGGTTTCAAAGCTCAAGCCACCAATAAAGAGTTTACGGAACTGTTCCTTTTCTCTCTGCAAAGGAAAACACCATTTCAATTTTTATTTACATTTTCTCTTTGTATGCAGGAATTTAAATTCTTAAATATAAGGTGACCTGCTGGCAGAGTACCTTTTTCCTCTCCAAAGGAACAGTTTCTAAAGTTTTCTGGAGGGAAAAAAAAAACTTACATCAAATTTAAACCATATGTTAAACTGTATATTTAGTTGTGTTACACCAAAAAATTTCGTCAGAGGTACTACACGTTTCAAAGTCATATGCTTCATTTAAACTTACTTGACATTAATTCTCATACATTCAGTATCACTTAAAATACTTTCTGAAGAGAAAGGAGCAAATCTATTCCCTGGCCATTCAAGAGTTAAGCAATTCTCATCAGAATTTGCATTTTAACATTAAATACTCAGTTTTTACCATTTAGGATTTAGTTTTAAGTGTTTCTTTTTTTTATTTGCTCCCTCTAGTGGGGATTTAATGTATTGCAATAAGAAAAAATCCTTTCCCCATTTACCAACTACTTTCGATTAGGGTAAAAATTTAAATGTTCAATATATGTAGCAAAATATCCTTAAAATTCACTCTCTGACCCACACGGACTGATTTTCATGACCAACTAAAGATTGTTTATATCTTAAAAAGTAATAACCATGATTTCGTGGGCACTCCAATTTCTGGTATTTAAATTGACAATTCAGAAACAAGCTGAATATAGATAAGGCTAACAACCATTATTAAGTCAGTAAAATACATTCACTGTAGTAACTTCACTTTCCTAAAATTTTAACAAAAATATTTAAATGAGCACTGTGACTACTACCACTGGGGAAAAAACACACAGAAAGCTCAAGCATATTGAACTTATTATTGGACATCTGACAAGCTATATTATACAACATGAGTTTCTATAATTTTACAAGCAAAAAGGATAAAAGCCTGGGATGAAATCTCTTAATCCCCACAAACCAGCAAGCAAATAAACTAGCTGTTTTTATCAGTCCTGAATTTGGAGCTGAAAAGTATGAATTGGAGGTCATTTGGTTTTCAGGTGAATACATTTTTTTAAAAATTAGTTCTGCTGTCCATGACCAACTGCTATGAATGTGCAATATAAACTAAAAGATCAAATTAATGTGACTTTCGATACAACAGGAAATTTTATTCCCAAATAGCATTATAACTCAACCCAGTTACATGCAGACTTCTCCCTGAGCGCGTGACATTATCCCATTAACAAAAAATACACTGATAAGCAAGTCAGACATTTTTTTTTTTTTTACTATTAACTGCTTTCAGGAATCTGAAAAAAAATTTCAAGATTAACCAATTATCAAATTAGCTCCGAATACATTTAAATGTTAATATATTAAAGTGATTACTTTGCATATTGGTATATGAATTCTTAAAGCTGATTTTACTTGCTAAACACAGTATTGTCAGAAAAATAGGTGTTTTAAACCCCAAGTAAATTACTGAGATTAAAAAAGTGCATATACAATTTTTTCAAATCATTAACAAAAGCAAAAGCTTGTTACTTACCTCAGTTTTCTCCAAACTTACCTGATGTCCACTATCGATTACAAATTTATTTTACAAGGGAGCATAGGGTCAAAGAAAATGCCCAGGTAGACCTCCCCCCGCTTCGCTTGAGACCTTATACTTATCAATGTAATGATCAACCATGATCGCAAACATAAATGAAAAAAGCAAGTGACAAAGTTCAAACACATAGCGGCACAGCCAAAAACCTATCTACAGCAATACACGCATTGAAGGACTGAGCCGTGTTTTTAAAGAAGCCTGAAGGATAATCATTTCTATTTCACTTCCGATTACTTACAAGAATGCATGGTCTTAACCAGTAAAGAATAATTTTACAGGCACAAATATTTTTTAGACTACGAAACATACAATTCAAAGGGAGGCCTTCAGAAAAAAAAAGTTTTCAAAAATGAATACGCCCCCAGGTATAACCTTCCCCACAGCTACCCATAACGGGCACTAATCTGATGGGTCCTAATTTTGGTTTCATTTCTAATTGTAAAGTTGGTTGCAAAACTGACTTTTTAGTCACCGCAGACCAGAAAAAAAAAACCGTTACTCAGAGAAATAAGCACTGCAAAACAAAACGTTTCCTTTGTGCTTTGGGTCGCCTCAAAACTGGGATCAACGCTTTACCGCGAGGCTGTCCAGCGGTGCGGCCAGCGCCCCCCCGCCCGCCCGCCCTTCGCTGTGGCTCTGAACGCAATGGCGCCATTTCATCGAGAGGAAGGGAGCGCGCCTCTAACGAGGTGCGCAGCACTTTCACAGAGCCGGGCGCCCAGAACACTCGGCACCCGCCTCAAAACCGCACGAAACCGGCCCGGGGAGGAAGGAAAACAGTGGCCTACTTCTATTCTTTGGTAAGGGAGGCCAGGTAATAGCATCCGGACAGTTAAAAAGAAAAACGCGGCGAGGACGGAGAGGAATGAAAATGGCGGCCGCCAAATCCGGTTCCCGGGGGAGGGGGAGGGGAGGCGCCGCAGCCTCGCTCCGGGGGGCCCCGGACCCGCCCGAGCGCTCGCTCGCGGGGCCCCCACGCCCGCCTGCGGTAACGGGGCCGGAGCACCTCCCGCCTCCACGCCCCACTTTCCCTAAAGCGGGGCTGCGTCCGCCATGTGGGCGATCCCCATCCCCCACCCCCAGCCAAGGGAAATGGCGCCGGGAGGCTGAAGGGTGGGGAACGTGCTGCACACACAGGCCTCGGCCAAGGGCCCCTCTGCGGCCGTGTCCAGGGACCAACCGCTTCTGGAGTGGCCCAGTTCCGCGGCCGCTCTCCCGCGAGACGGGGGGTGGGGGGGCCGGCTTCCACAAAGGCGCCAACGGCCGCGCCATGCCCTCTCCAAGAACTCATTGATTTCAAACCCGTTACCTCCATCGCGGACTCAGTCGCTTCAGCCCGATTTCCCGCAGCCGAGCGAGATGAGAGAGATCTCCGCGGTCGCACGCGAACCGGACTCGTCCTGGCGCTGTAGTGAGAACTGCCGCCGCTGGAGAAACAACAAGGCTAGAGGCACGTCCGCACGCTGAGCCGGCGCCGCTGCTAATGCCGCTCCAGCCGCGGCCGCCGCTTTTCTAGAACCTTCCCTCCCACCGACGCGTCCCTACGTCAGGGCGCTGCGTGAACGCCCTAACTGCCGCCAATGGCGGGAACCCTCCACGCCCTCCTTACGCTGGAGGTGTACTCCGCCCTCCTCCCCGCCCCGGGGAGCGCGGGGCGTCACTGGCGTAAGCCGGCTCCGTGAATTGCCGGAGGCTCGCGGCGGCGCAGTTCCCCCGCTGGAACCGGGTTCAGCCCCCGCCTGAGCGCAGGGCAGGTGAGAAACGGTCGCGCCCTTGGAGACTAAAGCTGTCGGGTGGAGCTGGATCCGCAGCCCCGAGGCCCCCTCCCTCAGCACAGCCTCGGACAGGGCTCCCTCCTGGCCTGCTGCCCCGGGGAAATCTGCGTCGCCTCCCGCAGCTCTTCCCCTTCCCCCTCCCTTCCCCCGGCGCCGAGGGCTGACTCGGCCCCTTCCGGGTGCACCCGAAGCCGCTTCTAGCCAACACGTTACACTGCGCGCTCCGCCAACCTGACCCTGGCCAGGAGGATCTGCGGGGTCCAGTCTCGGGGGCCGAAGGGCACCCTTCGTCGTTCCCGATCCCGCCTCCCCTTCACCACCCACCTCCCGGCACCGGGAGATACCCACCCCCAGAGCGAGGAAGTGGGCGGAGTCCGGTTTTGGCGCCAGCGCCGCCGCAGCGCAGCCGAAACGTCCCCGCCCTGAAGACCTTGGTCCTCGCCCTCGCCCCTCCTTCCCTCTCCCGCCCCTCCCAGGACCCCCTGGCACCGCCCCGCGAACCGTGAGCGCCGCTGCGGCCAGCACCCTCCCCCTGGGCCTGGGCCTGGGCTGCGACTCCCGTCGGGCACCGCGCGGCCCGCGGCCCCGCCCCCTCCCCGGCGCGCGCCCGCCAGCCCCGCCCCTCGCGGTCGCCTAGCGTTGGGCGGCGCCAATCCCTCTCGCGGCGCAGCCCCGCGCGCGTTTCCCCGGCCCCCTCCCCCTCGTTAGTGGCTGGAGCCGAAGGCGCGCAGGGCCGGAGACGTCGGAGGAGCCGGAGCCTCGGGACGCGGAGCTGCTCGGAGGCGGTGAAGTCGGTGTCTGTCTCTCTCTCCAGCGATCGCACGGAGGTGGTGCTTAAGATGCGTCTTGGGGACCCCCCTCAGCCGGTCCCCAGCTCCCAGCCAGTCCCCTCCCGACCCCGAGGCGGGTGTGGGGGTGAGGAGCGCAGAGGCGAGGGGAGACCCCGCCGCGGGCCTGGCGCGGGGCCGGCGTCGGTCGTGGGGATGAGATTCCTTGAGAGGGCAGAGGACCGGCGACAGCCGCCTAATTTTGAGACAAAGCGCATTTATCTCTCCCCTCCCCCATCGCCGATCCAAACGGGAGGCCCCCTCCCCCTCCCCGGCGTGGTCGCGACGGGGGCCTCTTATGGGGAGGGCGGCGCGTTCTCCGGCTGCGGCCGGCGCTCCGTTACGTGGCCGCCGCGGGCGGGCGGGGGGAGGCGCGGGCCCCGTGGCGCAGTGCCCTTGAGCCCCCGCGCCGTGGCCTTTGTTTCTCCCCGCGGATGCGCTGACCACGAGGCCCGAGCTCCCGAGTGGGGGCGGGGGCGGGGCCGGGAGCCTGGCTTCCTGCGGCGGGCGAGGACCCGGGGCTCGAGGGGCGGACGGAGGTGCCTCGGAGCGGGTTTGTTTTCAAGCGGCACCAAACGGTACTGAAGCATCGTGGTGTGTTTTCCATTTAGTTTTTTTAACGAGTGACTGGAAAGAGGGAAGGTTTCCAAGAAGAAACCAAGTTAGGGTTACCTAGGCGACCCTTAGAACTGTTAGGAAGGAGGCCTCGAGGGAAAATTCACGGCACTTTATCATTTTGATTGGGTAATTGGGTCTGATGTTGAACCAGAATATTTGGCCATCCTTAAATACTGAGTGTGGTGTAAATGAGATTTGTGTTGGGGCGCGGGGGGGGGGAGGATGTCTGCAGTTTTTTGCCCTGTAAAGCTGTCTTAGTACCGGTGTCCCCATGAGGTTTCTAGACCACTCGGTTGGAATACTGATACACTCCCAGGAATACGTTACTAATAACTTACGCAGCAGTTCACATTGCTGCTCAGTGGGTTTGTATACATGGGGGGGATCCAAACGACACTTGTGTTTAGCTACCTTTTTGTGTCATGCAAACTTCCTTTTAACTATCATGCATTTTTCTAGTAATAGCTCTTGGAGTCTGCAATAAAAAATGGCCTCCAATAAAACTACATTGGTAAGTTAATAAAAACCTAAAATACGTAAGGATCTAACTCAAATTTTCCCCCTGAAAATTATAACTTTGCATTTCAGTGATTGAGAAATTTACATCCATATTTATATTCCCCAGTGCCCTCTCCCCCCAGTGTTATGGGAAGAATTAGCTGCAAAAACGAACTCATTACATGGAGATGATTATTGATTTGGCCTAATATTTTGATTAAGTTAAGGGAGCCTAAACTTGAGTATAGCCCAGTATGAATGTTAATGACTAGATTTTTATCTTGAAATAAAAGTGCACACATGTATGTAACATGGAAGACTACAAGTATGGACAAAGCAGGAAAGCCTTTGTTGATTGTCATATTACCTAACTCACTGTGTACTGAATTCTAGAGAAATCAAGTATTTGCAGTATTGCCCAGATTAAAGAACAGATACCCAGTTAGACTGGGTCAAGACTCATTGATTCTTTCAAATACTTTGGGCACTTTGTCTTATCTCAGACTTACTCTAAAATACACAAGGGCCTTAAATTTGAATCACTGCCCATTCTTTTTAATATACAAAACGACCCAAACTGCACATCTATCCTGTAAGGAGAGAAGAATGGAGCATGTGAGCAGATAACGTTTTTCTCTCCCGTTTCTTAAAGCCAAAGTTTTATTCTTAGGCTTCATTTAAAGTTCTACAAATGTGTAAAGACATTGTACATTCGGTCAAGTTATAAGTTTAAAAAACTGGGCTATTCACATGAGAATCGTGAAATTCAAAGTTATGATTTCCACAGTATTTAATTCTGACACACTGCATTAATAATAATCTTAAGTATATAAAGGTATTGACATCTAAATAAAGCAAAACATTTGGTTTTGGTTTGTACATTTTCTTCTTGAATTATACACTAAAGGGCAAGTTGGTGATTTATAATTTGTGTCATCATTAGAGTGCACATGTAAATGAACTATCCTGGGAAATATGAAATATAAAACGTGTCTGGTGAGCCGATAGTGCAAATGATTCTCATCAAAGCCATCAGTGGAAAAAGCACAAAGCATCTTCTGTGCCCCTTCAGAATTGAACTTTCAAATTCCATAATCAGTAAGCCAAAGTGTATGTGATTGAATTGGCTTTATGGTCACCTATGTCCAAATATTGGATGGGAAAGGAGCTAACTATGCTTGGTACTTTGAGGATGAATATAAATACAGAAAGCAAGTAGATGCTTATATTAAAACTAGAGGCCCTGTGCACAAAATTCTTGCACTGGGGGCCAGCTTGGGGGTGGGGGAGGGAGATTGTGGCAGTCCCTCAGCCCAGCTTGTACCCTCTGGAAGTCTGGGAGTCCTCAAGGGATGTCCAACTGATAACTTAGACCCCCGCCCTGCTAAGCTGGCAGTCAGACATCCTTAGCACTGCTGCAGAGGCGGGAGAGGCTCCTGCCACTGCCACTGTGTGAGCCAGGCTTCTGGCTGCGCGTTGCTCCCCCTGTAGGAGCGCACTGACCACCAGGGGTCAGCTCCTGTGTTTAGCATCTGCCCCTGGTGGTCAGTGCGCGTCATAGCGACCGGTCCTTCCACCATTCGGTCGATTTGCATATTAGCTTCTTATTATATAGGATTAAATTGATTTTGTACACAACTTTTTTTATCTTTATTAAATAATTTTATCTAGCCTGAGGGTTTATCCTTTTCATTTTCAGTGTTTATTTTTTGTCATCTTTATTCTGTACATCTCTTATCCTCATGGACCTATTTTGTTTGTCATTTATGATTAGTGTCTAATATGCTTTTGTTCACACCCAATTTTTCTTCATTCGTCCCACTACCATGCTTACCTTCCTTGTACTGCACAGAAGCAGAAAATTATCTGATTGGGTGCAGCGCCCAAGTAATATGTGTGTGTACCTCTAAATAACTACATAGTTTAAATGTTCTTTTGCAATCTTCTGGTATTCTGTTGTCTTTTTCTGCTTTTATATTTTTTAAAATATATTTTTATTGATTTCAGAGAGGAAGAAAGTGGGGGAGAGGGAGAGAAACATCAATGATGAGAGAGAATCATTGATTGGCTGCCTCCTGCACACCCTGCACTGGGGAATCAAGCCCGTAACCTGGGCATGTGCCCTGACCGGGAATGGAACTGTGACCTCCTAGTTCATAGGTCCACATTCAACCACGGAGCCACCGGCCGGACTAGTTATGTGGAGTTTTAAAAGTTTACTCATTTTCAGTCCTCTTATAACAAATCTGTTTAAATTATTAGAAAACAGTGATTTGGGCTTGGTTTCCTGCTTCTCTATTAAGTGTTATACTTTGAAAAAAGAAAACTAAGCTAAAAGTGAATTTTGTTGGCTACCAATTTAGACTTTTTTTTAAAATCCTCACCCGCAGGGATATGTTTTTATTGATTTTAGAGAGAGAGAAACATTGATTGGTTGCCTCCTATACTTGCCCCGACCACGCATTGAACCTGAAACCTTTTGGTGTATGGTGCAACACACCAACCAACTGGGCCACCTAGCCATGGCCCAATTTAAACTTTTGAGTAACCAAGAAGGATTCTTTTTTTTCCCCCCACAATTAAACTGATCCAGCATGTTGACATCTTGAAATGACAGCATTTAAAGCTTTGTTCCAGTTGTTCAATAATATATATTATCAATAGAGATTATGGAAAAATAATCTTGTCCTTTTTAATCTAGTCATGGTCTCCTTAATTCACCCTGTGACTGATACTAAGATTCTGAACCATGTTTTCATTGCAGTTAACCTTTTTTCTATATTGCTGAGGCTTTTAACATTGGTATTTGAATTGGCAAAGGGTGTCTGAGAGTGTGGGGGATATGATTTCACTGGTTCACTTACTAAGGTCTGTCACTACTACTTATCTCTTCTCTGTCTAATCTCCTAATACCATCTAGTGGCTGTGTGGTTAAACTGAGTGAAAACTAGTAAACACAATCTTGTAGATGACGTAGAAATAGACCAGGAAAAGATAACAGTATTTTCCACACAGTGTTTTTTATTGTATTATTTAATTGAAAGGTGGTAATAGGTTTAAGCGAAATCAGCTTAATTACATACTTCTTTTTGTATTAGTATCTGTTGGTTTTTTGAGTTTTTTTCCCCCAGGAAGTGTCTACCCTGGGATATAGAAGTAAAAATTTAGGTGTCAAATTCAACAATAATATAAGCAATTAATTTAGCCTTTAAAATGTACCCCAAAAGCAAGATATTTTTTAATTCTTTTTTTCTTTGTTTATTTGTTTTGTTTTAGCAAAAAATGGGAAAGAAACAGAATGGAAAGAGTAAAAAAGTTGAAGAGGCAGAGCCTGAAGAATTTGTAGTGGAAAAAGTATTGGACCGACGTGTAGTGAATGGGAAGGTGGAGTATTTCCTGAAGTGGAAAGGATTCACAGAGTGAGTGAATCCCTTTTATGTTTAAGTGCACTTAAGCGGCTTTTAAAACTTGTTTTCAACCTGAGATCTTTTATCAGTTTTCCCATAGGTTTCTTTAAATTTTTAGAATTCCTTTAATTCGGGGTAAATTGATTTTTTAGAGAGGAAAGGAGAGGAAGTGAGAAACAGTGCTATGAGAGCAAGCCCTTGATCAGCTGCCTCCTGCAAGCCCCCTACTCCATTCCAGCAACCTTTCAGTGCACAGAATGATGCCCAACCATTGGGCCACATGGGCCAAGGCTGTGTAATGCATTTCAATGTCGCTATTGTACTAATTAATTAGCATACCCAATCTACATCACTTCCTTGCATGAGGAGGGCACTAACAAACGTGGAAGGTCTATAGCAGGGGTGGGCAAACTTTTTGACTCGAGGGCCACAATGGGTTCTTAAACTGGACCGGAGGGCCGGAACAAAAGCATGGATGGAGTGTTTGTGTGAACTAATATAAAATCAAAGTAAACATCATTACAAAAAAGGGTACGGTCTTTTTTTTATTATTATTATTTTTTTTTTTTTTTTTTTTTAGTTTTATTCATTTCAAACGGGCCGGATCTGGCCCGCGGGCCATAGTTTGCCCACGGCTGGTCTATAGTGTAGACCAGTGGGTATTAAACAGAAGTGCTGGTTATGATCCAGTTCTTACTGTATCCTAAATCTCTATAAGAAGTAGAGTCTGGCCCTAGCCGGTTTGGCTCAGTGGATAGAGCGTTGGCCTGCGGACTGAAGGGTCCCAGGTCCGATTCTGGCCAAGGGCACATGCCTAAGTTGCAGGCTTGATCCCCAGTAGGCAGCGTGCAGGAGGCAGCCAATCAATGATTCTTATCATTGATGTTTCTATCTCTCCCTCTTCCTTCCTCTCTGAAATCAATAAAGAAATATATTTAAAAAAAAGAAAAGAAAAAACATCATTCACTTAATTAAAAAAAAAAAAAAAAAAAAAAAGAAGTAGAGCCTGGACATTTTTTTAAACTCCCTGGTTCCTCATGATCCTTGTTACTAGTTGTTCTCATAACTGCTTATAGTAGTTGTCTTGTGAATAGCTTGCATGCAGAAATTTCATTCTTAATGTTTATCGTGTGCTAATGTGCTTGAATTCTCTTCTGTCTTACACCACAAAAACAGTGAGGCTCCATGGGCAACAACTATTAATAATGGATAGGTAGAAATCTACAAAAATTTTTCTGAGCATGATGGAGATGAGTATGATAGTCAGATTGTTAGGCTTCAACTATCTGTAATCTATCTCCACCATTCACATTTTAAAGCAACCTCCTAGCAGTTTGGGAAGTATGAAATGAATGGAAGGTTTAGGTTTTCCTATTTTATCTTCTCAGTACCCTTAGTTGAATTCAAGTTTTTATCATAAGTTCATAATGTACCCCTAGAAAATTTTCCTATAAATAACTGAACCAAGCAAATAAGCCTGAACTATTTTTGAATTAGATTTAACCACTTTGATTTAACCCAAATTGATAACCTTCATATGGTAGAGAGTTGGTTTTTATTATTTGTTTTTTAACCTCCTGGCATATTAAAAACTCTGTGCCCCACCCATTAAATGCTAGGAAGCTAACTCTTCCCTTTCTCCCCAAACTGAAGGTTACTAAGTATGATTGAGAACCTGTGTGTGGTATTATGTGTCAGGTAATACAGAAGGCTGTAATGAAAAGAACACTACAGAATGGAGGCTCCACTTCAGCTCTTTTGTCCTCCTTCACCCTCTAATTTAGGTTTGCCAATTTTGAAGTCTGAATCAGCAAATCAAGTTGAAACCAGAGGTTAATAGCACCTTTCCCAGCATCTCTAAAATGATTAGTTTCATTCTATCTGTGTAAAGGCTTTTTTGGATCAGAGCACACAAAGTTTGCAAGCCTATCACTGTTGAAGGATGATCATACTTTCACATTTGGTAATTGATACTTGTTTTCTTTCCAGCCCTTGTTTATGGGCCCTGAAATTCGAATTTTGTAATTTTCATTTTGAAATATTTTTCCAACCAATTAAAAATGTCAAAGTCAGAAGGCTGGGTTAACTTTGTTTCTGTTGCCAATCCCTCTATATCATTTCCCAATTTGAGCACTCGGCAGAAATTGGAGGTACTATCTCATGTTTGAGAATGCCTCAGAATTACTTTAAATCACAATATTGGAGACCCTATCTCTACGTATCTTCTGATTAATCTAGTAAAGTTATTTACAGTGGGAATTAGGAATTCACATTTCTAAGTGGGTTTTCATAATTTGGAAAAATATTAGCTCCAGTTATCCTGCTAGAATCAGGTTTTGTTAACCTGGGGTAATATAGCAGATTGCCCCCTTGGATAGGAACTGTGAAAGAAGACATAAGGGAAGTATGATCACATTGTGTTAAAAGAATGTTGAGGGATAGGGAACAAGTGGTTAGCACAGAGGACTTTTCAGATATATATTAAGTGAACCTGGATGACGGTGATAAACCATGTTTAATCGAATGAACTTTTTTTTAACTGAATGCAGTGCTGACAATACTTGGGAACCTGAAGAAAATTTAGATTGTCCAGAGTTAATTGAAGCGTTTCTTAATTCTCAAAAAGCTGGTAAAGAAAAAGATGGTACAAAAAGAAAGTCTTTATCTGACAGTGAATCTGATGATAGCAAATCAAAGAAGAAAAGAGATGCTGTAAGTATAAAATATTGCCCACCAAACTGGCTTTTTGTAAAAGGTTGATGGCTTGATGTTTAGGATACTTTTAAAGACTTTAATGCTTTTAAAATATGATTGAAACGCCTTTTTTAAAGGCTTAATTTAAATTGTGCTAGTGTAATTTTGGGTAGATTCGTGGATCTGGTTCCTATGATCCAAGACTAGCAGTCCTTGAAAACTATCCACATAGCTCATCCTGATTGTTGACCATCACAGCTTTGACCACAAGAAAGTACTTTGGTATGTGATGTTTCCATTATCAAAGTAATGCCAAATGATACTTTGATTTTAACATAATCTTTGATAATAACTTTTTTTTTTATTGACATGAATTGAAGCAGTTGGTTTAGTATTCACTACATGCTCTAATCTTTGTTAACTGGTGTCTGTGGCTTTAGGCAAATCACAACTCTGCTTACTTTCAACTTCAAAACAAATTATATTTGCCCTTTGTACTGGGCATGGTAATTTGGGAAAGGGCCTTTGTTCTTAATTAGTATTTAGGCTTGGGGATTAAATGTACAATACAGACTTCTTGATAAGATCTTTATATTTTAAATTTGATCATTTGAACTAGATGCCATATACTTTACAGATAATCCATTAAATGCTCATGACATCTCTATTAAGATTATAGGTATTGTCCCCATTTTACAGAGGAGAAACAGATTGGCTATAGATTTGGTTCTGGATACTTTAGCAGTCAAAACAAAAAAGTGACAATGTGAAGAATCAGTATATATTAGTCCCCTTATATCCGAGGTTTCAGTTACCTGTGGTCAACTGAGTTCCAAAAATACTAAATTTCTCCAACCAACATTTTCTGCTCCTGACATCCAACCATCAACATTGTCATGGCTCAATGATCCAGGATCACCTGGAGCCAGATGATCCTCCTTCTGACATATCATCAGAAGGTCATTCATTAGTAGCTTAATGCTACATCATAATGCCTACATCATTCATCTCGTCATGTAGGCATTTTACCATCTCACATCATCACTAGAAGGGTGAGTACAGTACAATAAGATATTTTGAGAGACTACATTTATATAACTTCTACAATGTTATGATTTTTTTATTACTAGTTAATCTCTTACTGTGCCTAATTTATAAATTAAAGTTTACTGTAGGTAAGTATGTGTAGGAGAAAACGTGTGTAGGGTTTAGTACTATCCACTGGGTCTTGAACATATTTTCGTGAGTGAATAAATGGGGACTACTGTATGTAATTTAAAAGTCAACCACGTGCTCTGCAGAAGCACTGTTTAATTACAGTAGTGAATTTCCATGCATTTAGCCCTTACATTGTGCCAAGCAGTCTTCTAGATAAAAGTAACCTAGGCATCTGACTTCAGAGTCTGGGATATTGATGTAAAAGTCTGGATGGAGTGAAAGGATTTATTGATCTAAGCAGCTCTTAAACTTTGGTCTCCAGAAAATTATTAAGGATCCCAAAGAACTTTTGTTTATATGGGTTATACCTATAAATAACTATAGTAGGGATTAAAATAGAAACTTCTGAAGTATTTATATATTCATTTAAGAATGACAAAATCTATTGTATGTTCGTAACTATTCATGAAAAAATAACTTTAAATGTGAAGCATATTTTACATTTTTGCAAATACTTTTAATGTGTGGCTTAATAGTAAACAGTTCTATATTTGGTTTGCTGTGTTATGATTGGTGGAGGCATGCGAAGGCAATCTGAAGTTACAAGTACATGAAAAGAGGGGACCTTATGGATAAATGGACACCCTAAAGGTCTCAGGGATTCCCAAGAACCCTCAGACAACACTTTGAGAATCACTAGTTTATAGGAAGTATTTTATTTTATAAGAGTTCTTACTATTCAGATTGATTACAATACTGATTAATCTTGAGTTTTATGGATTTTACTATTTTGATGTTTCTATTTTTGTATGTGCTTCATGAATATAGGTAATTTAGGCTAATTCCTGGAAGTGATTTGAAATGTTAACTTTAAGGATTTGTAATTATTAAATGATTAAAGTTATCAGAAATAAAGGTATTGGTTTGTCTGTTTTCTTAATTTCTGGTTCAGAATACTTTTAGACATCCAGATTTTTTTTTTCTGCATGTAAGGTTAGGTTACTAGAAATTATGATGTGTTTTGAATTAAATGTGGAGTGTGTTCTAATCATTTCTGTTTCACTATTGAAAGGTTTTTATTTAAAAGTTATGTCACAAAAACAAATTGGAAGTTAATATTAATTTGCTGGGTGGAAACATAAATGCAAATAATCATTTAACTTCTAAACAGGCTGATAAACCAAGAGGCTTTGCCAGAGGTCTTGATCCTGAACGAATAATTGGTGCCACAGACAGCAGTGGAGAGTTAATGTTTCTTATGAAATGGTAAGTGTGTGGGTGATTACTGTTATATATAAAGTACAAATAGATGGGCTTTTTTTTTTTTTTTTTTTTTTTTTGACAGATAATGAGGGGCCGGGGGCGGGGGGATGACATTGATTTGTTGTTCCACTTATTTATGCATTCATTGGTTGGTTCTTAATAGGTGCCCTGCCTGGGGATCAAACCTGCAACCTTAACATATTGGAACAATGCTCTGACCAACTGAGCTACCCAGTCTGGGCAATGGGCCTTTTTTTTTCCTGTGAGGCTTTATGTAGAAAGGGTTTTATAGTTTTTATCATTATATAGAGAATAATTATCTGCTGAAGGAATGATTCTACTTACTTTTGCTAATGATATTTCAAAGCAAAGATTAGCAAACTGATCTGTTTTATAAAATGAAATTTTATTGGAACCCTGGCACAAGTACCTCATAATCCTCCTGAATTGTTAAATAATCTAATTAAATTACGATATATTGAGCAATTCTCATTTGACAGAAAGGGTTTAGACATTTAACTAAATTTTTTTTTTTTCCTCACAACAGGAAAGATTCGGATGAGGCTGATTTGGTGCTGGCAAAAGAGGCAAATATGAAGTGTCCTCAAATTGTAATTGCTTTCTATGAAGAAAGACTAACTTGGCATTCTTGTCCAGAAGACGAAGCCCAATAATTGTTTGCATTGCTTTTTATATATATTTATACATATATATAAAATCTGGGTCTTGGTTTTTTTTTTTTGATTTATTAGTGTGAAGAAAGAACTACATTATAATGAAAATCAAGTTTGATATGTTTGTTTTAAAGTAGTGCTGGGGAGTTGTTGGGGGGGTTGCATCTATAGCACTGGTTACTTTGAACAAAAGCTTTCTGTAGTTGCTTCCTTTATCAGAAAAGAACATTTGATACCATGTTGTATTTTTTCCTCTGCATTAGAGAAGCTTTTCTAAATGTTGAGGGAAATCTCCATAGTCATTACTCAGTCAGAATTTGTATGTGCCTAAGGATCATTGTGGGTTTTTTGTTTATTGGGGGGGGGGGGGGGGGGGGAGCGGTAGGTGTGTATACATATGTAAATGGTTTTCCCTTTTTTTTTTTTTTTTTTTTTTTTTTACCAAAACAAAACCATTTCACAACCATAGATAAGCTCATGTTTCTGAACTGCCATCATTTTCAGCAACCTAAGAAAAAAAATCATTTGAAGTTAAATTGAAATTTTTCCTGAAGCTTTTAACCTTTGAAATTAGATAATTTATAATTAATTGGACAGTTTAAATATAATGTAAGCAGTGTAAATTGGACAATTTAAAGTAGACATATCAGAATCCATATCTACAATCATAAATGCAAGTTTATTAGCAAAACCCCTGAAAGGAAAATTTTATCACTGCCAATAACCTCCTCACCCAAATGAGAAAAGTAGGCAAACCCTGATGTGTTTTAATTAGGTAAGCAACACTTATTTAAAGGTTTCACCTCATAAAATGTTCCTTTATAAGAAGTTTAAATCCCTATGCTATATATATATATATTTTTTTTTTTCCCTATGCTATATTGACTAAAAAAATAGGGTCATGGAATGTGTAAGACTTTATTCATGGATACCTGATCAGATTGTTAGAGACCTTGGCAATTTGGGACCTGCTAGAATAAATGGGCGAACAGACTTTTTGTAATCTAAACTCTTGGTCTGCATGTTTTCTCTTTACTCCAACTCAGTCTTTACATGTAGGCTCAGTCTCAGTATTTGGGGTACTGGTTCAACAAAAGCCAGGAAAAACAATAGCTTTGTAGTAAACAGAATGTTACCCAATTGTATATTGTTTACTTTATTGTAAATACTGGTAAACAGTGGTTAATAAATAGTTTTATATTCCTTTGTGATTAGACTTTTTCTTAATCTGATTGCCTTTATCATGAATGTAGAAACACCCACAGACGTGTGGCTCCACAAAAATGTGAGGGTTTTTTTCGTGTGTGGGAAGATGAAAATTAGTTTCATGTGAAATTTTAATACTTAGAATATAGTTTGTTAAAATTCCATCTGAAAAACGAGTCTTTTGATAGGATTGATCTGGTTGTGTTAGATCTATCTATGTTTACTCATGTCCAAAATCCACATAGAGAATGAAGTCATTTTGTAACATGCAAACATTGGACTATGTTGTATAGCTGAAACTAACAATGTCAATTACACCTCAATTTTTTATAAGAACATTTTATAAAATCACAGGTAGAAGAATCAATTTGTTAAAGAAATGGGCTTAGGAACAAGTTATAGAGGCAAAGGAAGGGCCCTTAGAGTTTGGAAGAGAGGAAGGTAATGGTTACTCACCTGAGGGAGGGAGGAAAGAAAGGGAAGGGTGTGCTCTGGGGAGGGAGAGCACCTATACAGGCAGTCCTTGGGTTACCTCGGACTTGATGTATGTTGTTTCGTGGTTATGTTGCCATCTCCCATTATAAAAAAAAAGTTCCGTCATTTCGACGTATGTACATATGTGCTTTATTTACCACAATAAAGGTCAGGAATTATCTTTTAAATTTTTTTTACTGTTTCACTTCATTACTGCTGTGTATGTGCTCCATGTGAGTGACATAGGTGCTTATGTAGGTGGGTTCCAACTTACAGCGAAAATCGAGTTACATGGCGCCGTAGGAACAGATCTCCGATGTAACCCGAGGACCTACTGTACCTCAATTTTAAAAAGAAAAAAATACCCTTCTTTATGCTGTATTAGTTTCTTATTGGTGCTGTGAAAAAATTGCCACAAACTTAACTTGCTTAAAACAACATAAACTTATGAGCTTCACAGTCTAGAAGTCAGAAGTCCAAAATCTATCTCACTGGACTAAAGTCAAGGTAACAGGGCTGGTTCCTTCCAAGGAGACTAATGGCAAAGTCTATTTCCTTGTTTTTGTTTCTTGAGGCCGTCTGCTTTCCTTGGTTCCTGGCCCTTTCCATCTTCAAAACCAGCAGTGTAGCATAGTCTCTTCACCTCTCTATGCCTCAGTTCTTCATCTATAAAATAGATAGGTTGTGGGTTTTTATAAAAATGAAATGTGGCCGAAACCGGTTTGGCTCTGGATAGAGCATAGGCCTGCGGACTGAAAGGTCCCAGGTTCGATTCCGGTCAAGGGCATGTACTTGGGTTGCGGGCACATCCCCAGAAGGAGATGTGCAGGAGGCAGCTCATCGATGTTTCTCTTTCATCGATGTTTCTAACTATCTCTCCCTTCCTCTCTGTAAAAAAATCAATAAAATATAAAAAAAAATGAAATGTGTACATGTGAGGCACTCAGAACAGTGTCTTATATTTAGCAATCAAAATGTCCTCATTTTTACAAGCAAATGTTTATTTAGAAAGTCACAAAGGTAAAAGTGAGCCAACTGGGCTGCCTGGGCTCAGGGAACAAGTTACAAAAGCCAAAAGAAGAGCTGTTGGAACTTAGGAAAGGGGGGCGGGGGGGGTGCTCTGCTTCAGAAAGAAAGTTGCCCAAAATTGTGGGTTCGAAAGAAGTAACCCAGAAAACCATGAGAGAGACGGTTTTATTAGGACAGGTGTGTATGGGGCAGCTGGGTGCTATTTAACACAAGGCCTAATGCACAAAATTCATGCAAGAGGCTCGAATTGAAATCACAATACAAGCTGTTTCTCTGCGGTTGTTTATGATTTGGGCTCACATTCAGAAGCAGATTCTCCCTGACCAAGAAACTGGCCAGGCTCCCAAGGTCTGTCTGCCTACAGGTGGCCTTCACTCTATTCCCACAGGGTGGGAGGGGGACTTGGAGCTTAGGAAGGGGCCCCAGTTGGGCACATATGGAGTCAACCCATCGATGTTTCTCACGTCATTGTTTCTCTAAAAATCAAAGATATCCTCAGGTGAGGATTTTTTTTTTATTTATTTTTTATGTGGTCAACTTTTTTTTTTAATATATTTTATTGATTTTTTTACAGAGGAAGGGAGAGGGATAGAGAGTTAGAAACATCAATGAGAGAGAAACATCGATCAGCTGCCTCCTGCACACTCCCTACTGGGGATGTGCCCGCAACCAAGGTACATGCCCTTGACTACAATCAAACCTGGGACCCTTGAGTCCGCAGGCTGACTCTATCCACTGAGTCAAACCGGTCAGGGCTGTGGTCAACTCTTGTCATTCTTTGTCTTCTAGATTTTGTGTCTCGTTTAAAAATACCTTTTATATCCTGAAATTGAATTTATATGGATATTCTCTCTTTTTTTCGTTATTGTTGAAAGTATTACATATGTCTCCTTTTCCCTCCCCTTGATCCCCTCCAGCCCACTCCTGCCTCCACCCCATGGGTATTCTTTTAAATTTTCATTGAATCATCTTTATAGTCACATTTTTTAAAAAATATATTTTTTATTGATTTCAGAGAGGGGGAGAGAGAAACATCAATGATGAGAATCATTGATTGGCTGCTTCCTGCATGCCCCCCCACTGGGGATTGAGCCCGAAATTTGGGCTTGTGCCCTTGACCAGGATCAAACTGGGACCCTTTGGTCAGCAGGCCGACGCTGTATCCACTGAGCCAAGCCAGCTAGGACTATAGTTACATCTTTAATCAGAGATTTTGTTGAATATTGTGATGAGGTTTCTGAATGTTTTGTTTTTAATCTTCACCTGAGGATATGTTTTAATTGATTTTTAGAGAGAGGAAGGGAGAATGAAACATCTATCAGTTGCTTCTTGTATGTGACCCTACCAGTGATCAAACTTGTAACCTAGGTATGTGCCCTGACCGGGAATCAAACCTGCAATCTTGGTGTACAGGACGACACTCCAATAAACTGAGCCACCTGGCCAAGGCAGTTTCTGGTTTTTGTTTTCCAGTGTAGACATCAGTGTCACTGAAGAATTCAGAGCTGTAAGTAGCAAAGTCTTCCTAATCCTATGGCTCAAAGAAAATAATCATGCACCATTACAAAAAAAAAGTTGGCCAGATGTCACAGTGGTTGGAGTGTCAGCCTGTGCGCCAGAGGGTCGTGGGTTTGATTCCTGGTCAAGGGCGAGTACCTTGGTTGCAGGTTCAATCCCCGACCCCGTCAGGATGCATTGGGGGAGGCAACCAACCAATGTGTCTCACATTGGTGTTTCCCCTTTCCCCCCTCTCTCTCTAAAAATCAATGGAAAAAATATTTTTGGGTGAGAATTAACAACAACAAAAGTTGGCCAGCAGATAAAACCATTTTTTACTTTTTCATTAAGGACCTAGAATCTGAACACCTGGATAAATATTGGTTTGGCAAGATCCCAAGTTTAATACCATTGAGACAGAAGGGGACACTGACCTGGAGTTTATTATCAACAAGCTTACTTTTAAAACCTCCAAAGTTTTATTATTGTGATCCCTCACTACTTTCCCCTCTTCTCTGCTTTCCTTTTGAAATTGAAAATACATGAATGTACCTTCTTTATAAACCAGAGATCCGGTTCTTGGTAATTCTGACAGGACCTGATTGATACTGCATGGGGTGCAGTAAGGGGAAGTAGTCCTTAGAAGACATTTACAAGTATTGTCTCCCTACCCTTTCAAGTTCTTGAACCTTAAGGTAATGAAGGTAATAGGTTGGAAAGAAAATGAGAAAATCATGAGCTTGAGCTTGAGCATTATATTTTCCTTTTCTATTTCTGACAAAAAACAGCTCAGGTTTGTTTTTTTGGTTGGGTGTGTGTGTGTGTGTGTGTGTGTGTGTGTGTGTGTGTGTGTGTTTAATCCTCACCAGAGGATATTTTTTTCCAGTGATTTCTAGAGAGAGTGGAAGAAAGGAAGGGGAGGAGGAGACAGAGAAACATCAATGTGTCTCACATCGATTGGGTGCCTCCTGCATGCACCCCCCCCCCCCCGGGGCCAGAGAACTTGTAACCTAGGAATGTACGCTTGACTGGGAATCAAACCCTGACCTGTCCACAGGCCGATGCCCTAACCACTGAACTAAATCAGCCAGAGCTCAAGTTTGTTTTGTTTTTTCTCTTAAATATCCACCAGGCTCCTAGCTGGGCTCA